CAGGGTGCACGGTGTGTGCGCTGAGCTGCACCCGCTAAAATCCTTCCCGCTCCTCCCCACAGGGGAAGAGACTTCATGAGACCGATCCGTGCTCAATCCTTTGGGGGATTGAGCTCCTGGATTTTTTTGGGGGGTACGGCTTTTCTGTGGGAGCTCGGGAGGGGGGGCAGGACCTCTCCCCGCAGAACAAGGAGGGACATTCAGTGCCTGCTCCTCGCCGCTTTCGGCACGTGGCTGCTGGAGCTCGGGCACGGCGGATGGAGGATGTTTGGGTTGGCGGGCACTCCGGCTGGACGGCGGAGCTGGGCAGGAAAAAGCATCCCGGGGTTGTGCTGGGGGAGGGAAATGAAAACCCAACAGACTCGCTCCTCCACACGAGTGCTCGAAAAAAAAAAAAAAATTAAAATAAAATGCTTTTCTGAAAGTGTAGGTGCTTTCAAAAGCAGGTGGTGGTAGAGAGGGGTGGCCCAGCTCCAGTGGGAACACGGGTGCCTGCACAGCAGCAGAACTGGGGGTTTCCCACCTTTAGATGGGGGTGGTGGAGATTTGCAAGGAAGGGCCCCCAGCTGCAGGAGGACAAAGCCCAGGAGGACCCTCAGGAGAGGAGAGCAGCTGGTGGGGTGGCTTAGTGCTGCTTCCATCAAAGGGGGCTGAGATGTCCTCTCCTCTCTCGAGGCAGGAGGAACCTCCTTGTCCTGCTGAGGACACCCCATTAATCTTGGGGTAGCATGGGAGGGTGTCACCATGCAGCTGGCCTCAGCAGAGAAAGAGCTGGGACCTGACTTGGGAAGGCCCCGCAGGAGGTTGTGCTGCAAGAGAAATTGAGTTGCAGTACGGACAGCAGGGGACATGCCTGATTTTATTTCCTCAGCATGCACAGGGACGGACGAAGCCTGCCAGGGGGAAATGTCCTTTAGCTTTAGCTCTGTGGTGTAAGTGCAAAGGGAGAGGCAGATGCACCCGCAGATGTACAGGTCTCCGCCAAAGGCAACCCAAAGGGTCCCAGGATATGGGGAGAAGAAGAACACATGGAGAAAAATATGGTCTGTGGGGGATACGCCTGGGGAAACTCCTCCTTACCTCCCCCCCTGGAGCCTGGGGGTGCCAGCTCAGCGCAGAGCCGGGGCCGTGATCGGAGGACGATGCCGGGCACCGTCAGAGGAGGGACAGGGAATGGGTAGGACACATCGCCAGGCTGCCGGACCGCTCCACCGTGCGCCTGCATCCTGGGATGCCCTGAGCAGCAGGCAACGAGGTTTTCCTCAGAGCTACCCGGACCCCGGCCAAGTCGCATTTCATCCAGGAAAGGGAGCAGTTATCCTCATGAACCCAGCTCGGTGCGTGTTTTAAATTAGCGCCTTAGATAAGACAGCAGCGCTGCAGGGGCAGCTGGCCGCGTCCTCGTACGCCACTGAAAATCACTGCTGGAAGACAAAAGCCATAACAGGAAAGGAGCTGAGCTGAAATGAGAAGGAATATTTTATTTTATTTTTTAGGAAAAGCTGAGGCTGGACAGACAGATTTGGGGAAAGAAAACAAAGTTAGGAGAAAGAAGGCTACCGAGTGGGCAGTCCAGAGCCTGTGGTTTGCCGGAGGCATGGTCTGCCCTGCTGTGGTTGCCCAGCCTGGTTGGACGTGCTTCTGCAATGGGCCGTTACAGCATTTTAGGGATGATAAAAAAATCCCTGCACGTGGGGACATGCTCCTCCATGAGATGCAGAAGACAAGGCCGGGGATGTGCCAGGAGCAGCTCCTGGTGCCTTACCTCTGCCATCTCCGTCACCCGTTCCTCACTGCAGTACCTCTGACAGGTGAATGATGGGTTTGATCATCCTTGCACTGACAGCACTTCCCACCCCCCAAGCCTTGTCAGGCTCTGGGAGCCGAAAAACAGGAGCCTGTAAAAGGGTAAGTCCCTGACACGGCAGAATAGTTTCCGTCTGATGCTTTAACCGGCTAACGAGGCTAGAGACCAGCATTTGGAGCTTCACATTGGAGGCTTTTCCTCGCAGCACAACCCCCAACTGACAACATTTTCCTAATTCCCGAGGCCAGGGTGAACTGGTTTCCCCTCTCCAGGATGGGCTGGCACACCGCTGGGGCCTGCCAAGTCGTGCCCGTCCTCCCAGCTGCTTCTCACCCTCCTCGAGGGCCAGGACTGGAGCCGGGAAGCTCAGCCATCTCTCCCAGCATTAGCTGGCTGCAGATCTGCCTTTCAGCCCCAGAAACGTTTAAGTTCGGCTCTTCAGTGTCTGGACTGGGCTGCAAATCTCTGGCCAGCATTTGAGCTGACTAAAGGAGATTTTTTTTTCCCCTCCCAGAGCGGCTGCTCCAGCATCTCGCAGACTTCCCGAGCCTGGAATGTGCAGAGAGAGGCTCTTCTGGCCCTGGTAAATACAACTTCTCTTTGGGATAATAATATTTTAGAGCTCAAAAAATAGCTGGTTTGCCTCTGCTCCCCTTCCGCAGGCTGAAGGCAGGCGGTCCCCGGCGCAGCTGACTCCAGATACACTCCATGTGCCCCTGGAGGGGTTGGCTGCCCTGCTGGAGCCCCAAAGCTGCAGTCTCTCACCCGAAACGGCTGGGGGGTGAGGAGGAAAAGGCTGAAGACCTCACGCAGAGGTGGCCTTGGAGGGAGGCTACGCAGTGCCCACCGAGGTGCAAGGAGAGAAATATGGTGCCTTTGAATTTCCGAGGTCTGTGTGGGAAAGCGCCCCCTCTCCTCTCCACCCCATGAGGGAAGATGAGCCCCAGCCTCAGGGCAGGGGTGAGAGGAGGCAACCACAGGCTTCATGTCCTTTTTCCTCCTCCTACTCATCATCTTCCTTCCACAATGCATTCCTGATGGGCCTTTCCCTGCTGAGCATCCAAAGTCCTGAGCATCCCTGCGCTTCTCCTCACCTTCAGTCTAATGAGATACAGCCCTGCAAACAAAAGAATGGTAATTATCTCTTTAACACACAAGAGAACGTCAGGTTATTTTCAACTGCAGGTTAAAATTTGAATTTTATTATCTAGCTAGCTTCAACTGCAGGTTAAAATTTGAATTTTATTATCTAGCTAGCGTCCCTGAGAAGTCCACGCCTGGTGCACGGCACATCCATCAGTGCTGCCCTGTCTCCTCCCCCCCCCCAGATTCGTATTGCAGTTCGAATCCTTGCTGAAGCAAAAGCACGAGCAAACGTACCAAAATACTTATTAATCCTGTTAGTGACTTTAATGAAGAGCTGAACCATGACATTTTTGTTTGTTATGGTTGCTAGGTATGTTGCTACGCTCTCCACACCATACCCCAAATCCCAGTATATTTGTGATATTTGAGAGCACGTACTGGGGAATTTAGCCACTATTGCCAAATTTTAGTTACACTTTGGAAAAAAAAAAAAAAAAGACCCATTCAGGAGCTTCTCACAAGTGTACCTTTTTCCCTGACAATGCAAACACACTGCTCCTGTCGACACAGATTTGTTTAAAAAGGAATTCAT